AGTTAAAGGGTTAAAAACATACCTGTTTCTAATGTTATGTACCTTTTATTTAAAAGAAAATACTGAATGCTAGTAGGGCTAAATGAGTTTTGTAGATCACTTTGATTTTTTATCTAAAATTAACTTTTTACAATTTATTATAAATTTATTTTTTGTATGCTGCTTCATTATGTATTGTAAATTTATCCAGCTAGCTGGTTTAATAGTCTCTTAAAAGAAACAATTATTTGTTATTCATCAATTTTTATATTTCTCAATGAATGGTTAAAAGGGAGCCAAAAATTAGATTTAAATTGATAGTCTTCCACTTTTCTTTTGATTTTTATGGGTCAATGACTAACCCTTTCATTCTTAGGATCAGTTCTCCACACTGTCTGAGTTTCACTGAGTTTAATCAAACAATTTCCCCTTTCTTGAAATTTTTTCTTTTTGCTTGAAAATTAATTGATGTTGAAAGGAGAAATGTTCTTCTGAGGTCAGTTCTTCCAGTGAAGGGATTAAAAAAATAATAAACATGTAAGTATGTGTTCTTCATTTTTTCCAACAGTGGCAAAGATGGCAACAAAGACGATAACAGTGATGATGATGAAGACGATGCACAAGCAAAAAAACTCAAGGGTCAACTAAACAGTGAGTAGTAACATCTTAATCTGTCTTACACCTGTTTCCACGTTCTTTTTCTTACTGTGCTGTACAGATAGTTTTCAGTAGTGTCTCAGGTAATTTGCTCTACAGCTAATTTTTCTGGTACTCCTTGTCTAAGTTATGAGATGTGTTCAAATGCTCTCATGGTTTGTCCATTTGCACTGTAGGATATGCATCATTTTCAATCCACTTTGAATTCATTTTGTCCAGTCTTGACCATCCTCAGTCCTCCTTGGTGTATTTTTATCTATTTTTTTTCTTTCTTATGCAACTAATAGTATTATACTTCTCCTTTAGGTTAAAGACAGTTTTGTAAATCACCAAAACTTGCTAAAAATATTGCAGGACTTTTGGTGTTTTATGAATTGTTCTTGAGGAACTGGATTTGTTTCTCTTTTCTAAGGTGCCATTGTAATGGAAAAACCCAAAGTGCTGTGGTCTGATGTTGCTGGGTTAGACTCAGCTAAGGAAGCCCTGAAGGAGGCTGTCATTCTACCAATTAAATTCCCTCATTTGTTCACAGGTAACTAACAAGGCAACTGCCTTTACTTTTACTTCAAATTTTGGAAATTAAATTTTACTACCCTTTGCTGCTATTTGTATGCACATCATCCAGACAATTTGATACTGTGATAAAATAAGCAACATAGATTGACTTAAAAACCATATATTGTTTGATACTGGAGTCCATAATCCACAGGTAAATAGAGGGTGCAGAAAATTGTGTATTTTAAAAACAGCACATGAGGTTATTGATAAATGACAAATTGGTTTTTACTTATCAATTAAGTTTTTATCTCTCCAGAAATTTGGTTTATGCACATTACACTGTTAAGCTTAAGATAGAGAGCTGAGTTTAGATTATCTGAGATCAACAAAAAGCCAGAGTTATGGTGATAGCAAATAACTTGATACAGTATGCGAAGGCCTATTGTAAATTGTGGGCATGATGTTTTATGCTTCATTTTGTGATAACTAGAATTTTCTTAAGGATAATCTCTTTCAAGGGAAGCTTAACTACAGGTAGGTCTCTGTCTTGCCCAAGTCTAGACTGTTTAAGATATCATACCCACTGATTTATCACGTGTTTTGAATGACAGGAAAACGAAGGCCATGGAGTGGGATCTTGCTGTATGGGGTAAGATACATGTACCAATTCATTTGCCAATGCCATGAACTCAACATTTTGTGGTAACCAATTTCAACTACCTAACAGGAGAATAAGACAGAGATATATTACAACAGTTTCCATTTTGTTTTACAGCCTCCTGGTACAGGAAAATCCTACTTAGCAAAAGCAGTAGCAACCGAAGCAAACAACTCAACATTTATATCTGTTTCATCATCTGACCTAGTGTCTAAGTGGCTTGGAGAAAGTGAACGGTACTGTCTAAAACATAATGTTTTCCATGTAGAAGTTGTCAATTAGTTAATTTTCCTAGCTTGTGATGAAAATTTATCCAATTTATTTCAAGTGTCTAATACTTATATATAAATCCACTGAAAACAAGCAGGAAGATATGTTGGCCATTTATTGATTTACCCAGTGACATCAGGCAAACTCAAAACTGTGGCTCATGGTTTATACAACAGACCTCCTTGAGAAAAAAAAAATTTAAATTTTGCAAATTTCCTTTGATTGAGTAATCCAGGGTACCATTAGTTTTGCTTTACTTAGTGGTTCAGAAAACTTTTGTCACTCTTTCTCAAACCAATCTGATATATAATTAAAGCAACTGTAATATAATATGTCTCCTTTTCTTGTGATTCAAACAGTTTTCTTCTCTGAGCTCTCTTTGGGTCTAACCATCAATAAAAACAATCTCATGAAAAAATTAGTACATGTTGCAGGATTAACTTCCATTACTGTGAATGAATGTTTTCTGGAGGGAAGCAATGCCATTGTGACTCCATGCCTGTCCAATCATTTTAACCCTTTCACTGCCAAGATCTCATTTACTAATTCTCTCAACTGTCTGCTATACAACCGATATGATGTGAGTTTGAAGAATTTGGTATTGGATCAACTTGTAGTCCCCTAATGGATTTCTTTATTCTCATCTCTTGTCTGCTTGATATTATATTGATAGTGTTAGGAGAAGTTCTTTCTTGGTCAGTCATGGGAGTTCCAATCATGCCTAACACCCATCTGCTTACTTTTTCAGGCTTGTAAAGAACCTATTTGAATTAGCACGAGAAAATAAACCAGCCATTATTTTTATTGATGAAGTTGATTCCTTGTGTGGCTCAAGAAGCGAAAATGAAAGTGAATCGGCTAGGAGAATTAAAACAGAGTTTCTGGTTCAAATGCAAGGTAAGTCTTATGAAAACAACATATATCTTACCTTGAAATTTCTAAAAATCAGCAGGGAAAGGATTAGGTTCTATAGTCAGTGTAAATAAAGCATTTGCTGTCTAGAATGTGGCCTGAAAAAGAGGGAAAATAAATCCCTGACAGTTACGAAAAGCATAAGATTGGAATAGTTTTCATTGATTCTAGTATTACATATGTTCTCCTTTTTATTTTGTTTTAACAGTAAGAGTGCATGTACATGTAGAAAGATGACTCAAAGGCTTATTTCAGTAAATGTTTCCTACACCATTTTGTGAATCAGAAATAATTATCTGGCAACTTTTTCTCCAGGATTTTTTTTTCATTTCCTCTCATTCTAAGAAAATCAAATAAGAGTTTGTCTAAGACCCTTTTTTCAAGTTTTTTCTCTCTTTTTGACAAATATTGTTATTTTTACCACTGGAAAAGTTTGAATTCCCCTTACAATGGAGTTCTATTTTTGTTGTTGTTGTTCAAGCTTCTTGGGGCCTGCAGGAAAAAAAGGCTTCACAAGTTTTCTAGAATTTGTGGTATCAAGGGGTTCAGAGAAATTATCAGTGGCTTCAGGATACTAGGGGGGTTTTAGAAACCATGGTACTGGTGCTACAAAATGTTGAAGATATTTAATGGTACATTTTAATGGCCAAAGGACATGGTTTCAGGTTTGAGATAAAAGGATGTATAAGATATCTAGGGCTCAAAATAATTTGAAACTCCTCTGCATTTAACAAATCAGTGTACATTTTAGCAACTCGGTGAAGGGGGGATATGGTTTCAGGTGAAAGATAACAGAATTTTCAAGATATCTAGGATTAAAAATAGTTTGAAACTCCATTGCATTTAACAAAACAGTGCACATGTACTTTATCTACTGACTTGTCCTTCAGGAATATTGACACATGTTAAAGACTGAGTGATATGGTGGCAATTTTGTTTGGCTGACAGGGGGAGTCTTCTCTCTATTAAGAAGGACTTAAAGTGCTATTTTATTTAATCTGTTACATCTTAACTGAAGGTGTTGGAATTGATAATAAAGATGTACTTGTCCTGGGAGCAACAAACATTCCATGGACTCTTGACTCTGCTATCAGAAGAAGGTATATTATACATGACTTTAGGGTATTATTTTGCATTTCTTTATAATTATTGTCCCAAGGCATACTTGTGCTTATAAGGGGTTCATACTTATGAGTTTTTGTGCAAAACCCTTAAGTATTTGACCACTGAATTCAGTTTAGATTTTTGTGATGATGATACTGATTCTTTCGTGTGTTAAAAAAAAAAAATCCAAGCAAAAAGGGAAGAAGTCTTCTTGTTTCTTACACCTTTCACAGGCACAAAATCTCTGCAGTTCAAGGCTGAACTTACAAGTTTTAGTTTGTCAGTATTGTCATACAGTATTAGGGCAGAAGCAAGCAAAATACATTATAACATAGCTAGTAAATTTGTCTAATCAAATTCAATTGCGCGAGCATGCTTCATGTTCCTATTGTGCACGCTCATGACGTCAGCAAACAAATCCCTAGAGAAAAAATTTTCCATCAGGTTGAAAATGTTATAAAAGAATTGGTTCATAAGTCATCTGTGTGTTCATCAAGATATGAAGCACTTGGGAAGTTTGGAGAGCACTCAAGAAGCTAGAGTTGCTCTTGGCTATGCCTCAAGCAACTCTTATGCATCTTTCATGCTCTCCAAACTTCCTGCGTGTTTAAATATCTCGATGAACGCACACTGACATATGAACCAATTGTTAATTAAAATCTACCAGCATGTTCATATGCATGAGCATGCTCATGCATTGCACAATGTATCTTTAATTCAATATTCTGCATTTTATGGAAAATTGGAGTAATTTCCTCAACATCTTTTCTAGATTTGAAAAAAGGATTTATATCCCATTACCTGAGGCATCAGCTCGGGTAAAGATGTTTGAGTTACATATGGGAAACATCAAACACTGTATTCAACCCACAGAATTCAGGGATCTAGCAGAGAAAACTGAAGGGTGAGGACAATCAAACTTATTAATTGGGATAAACAACCTCAGGATCATAGATTAAATATAGTTTTTATTTAACCTGCAAATCTCCAAGGTCTGTTTGTCATGCATTAATTTTCTTGAATGTTAGTTCAAAGGATTTTTTTTTCAAAAAATCAAACTATGTTCTCCAGTTTTATTTTTCTTTGTTCCTATTACCTCTAAGTTCGGCAGTGGAGTTTTATTACATGCCTGAAAAAATTACTGTTTGGTCAGTCTTGATATGCATTAAATCAAGGATCATCAATATTGGATAATAAAAAGTTAAAATGCAAGCCTTGTTGAATCTTCCACTTTTTGCAGCATGAAAGCTTCACCCATTGACCCCTATGAGTGACTGGCATCATGTCACCCCTGAATCACATATAAAGGTCCCAAGAATATAGGAAGCGATCACCAACTAACAAAGCCCTTGATTTTTAAACAAATTCTCCTCGTCAGCACCTTAGGAGATGCATAGAGAACAGTTTGGAGAATATGCATTCTGATGTTAGGGTGTAAAGGGTTAATAAAGTCTACAAATCTTAGTTAGCACTTGTTTGTCAACACTTGTCGATTTAAAACTATGTACGCTCTCCCCATGATTTCAGGTATTCGGGCGCAGACATCAGCATTGTTGTGCGTGATGCTATGATGCAGCCAGTCAGAAAAGTACAACAAGCAACACATTTTAAACTGGTTTGTATAATGTCTTTCTCAAATTCAGAGATGAAATATTTTACTTCAATTATCAAGTCAAAGTTCTTGAGAGCACTAATTGAAAAAGCTAAACATTGTCTTCTTTTCCCTCTGTTGCTTGAATAAAATGTTCTGTAATGTACACTACCTCTCCTGTCACAGACCTCCCACATCAAAATCCAAATTCACTGTTTTCCCCTAAGTTAAGGATCAGTGTGAAGACATTTGCTGATTTTCTCTTTTTCTTTGCACCTAATTTGTCACTGTTCTTTATTTGTGTGGTTTTAAAAGGTGAGGGGTCCCTCCCCACAAAACCCAGAAGTCATAGCAGATGATCTCCTAACACCATGTTCACCAGGTATTTATGTGGCAATTTTGTTTTACAGTTGAGATTGAATAGTCTCAAATTCTTATCCATATCTTTTATTTTATTGTGTTCCTCTGTTTTGTCAAATTCACCAAAGGTATGTGAACTTCTGAAAGTTTAGGCATTTGTCTGAACAAGTGGGCTGTAGATGAATGAGAAAATCCTCAATAACCAGTTTGATGGTTTTGACCACTGACACTTGATCATGTGCAATTTTTCATGCGTTGATTTTGTCAGAAAAGGCCTTAACATTGATGAAGATATCCTGGGTCCTGGAGACTTTCCATGTCTGGTTCATGTTGTCTTAATTTTGACCTATGTCAACTGGTTATTTTGCCCATCCTGGCTACTCATTCTGTGGGCATTTTCTCAACCCTAAGTACAATATATATGAAAACACTTCTGAATCAGGTACCAGGAGGAGTTTTAAGAATGGAAGGCTTTTGGAAGAGATTTACAATATTTTTAAATTTTTGCTGGATGAACAAATATTGGAATATCAACAGGAGAATGTTTGTCTAGTAATAAAATCTACACTCATTTTTACTATGATCATTTATTACAATGCCTTCCCTTTGGTTGCAATACCATCTTTTTGGCTTCCTTCTGCTGTGCACCTTTCCAAAAAAGATAAACCCTAGTGTTAAGGAAAACAACTTCTCCAGATCTTGACATAAGTTTTTTTTCCCCTGTTTCTTTGTAGGGGATCCGGGTGCAAGGGAAATGACCTGGATGCAAGTACCTGGAGAGAAGCTGTTAGAGCCTGTTGTTAATCTGGTAATTACTTCACAATTCTTCCATCAGTATGCATATTCTCCATACTGTTCTCTATACATTTCCTAACTTGCTGAAAAGGAGAATTTGTTTAATAATCAAGAGCTTCTTTATTAAGCGATCATTTCCTTTATTCTCATGACCCTAATGTTTGATTCAGGGCTGATATTGTAGGGGGAAATGAAATGCAAGTCATTCCTTGAGGGTTAAGGAGATGGGATTCCTTCGCTTGTGGGAAGTGAGAGGCTCATTATCACTAGGGATGCATTGCATTGGCAATTGACAGCCATGCAGAAATTTTCAGCTTAAAATCAACCATCCAGAGACTAAAGGGCAAGCAAACAAAGCTGACTGATTGATCATGAGTCTTTTAAGATATTTACAAGAATGGGAATTTTTTTAAAGACAGTAATCCCTGTTATTGCACCACATAGGCTTCAACTGGTTATTTTGCAGTTTCAGTGTTTTTTAGTGAATGGTATCCTTACTTTTCAAGATATATTAACAGCTACGACATTCCTTATGACTATTTTTAGCCGGACATGCTACGATCCTTGGCAACTTCTAAACCGACAGTAAACTCTGCGGATCTGAAAAAGTTTGAAGACTTCACCAGAGATTTCGGACAAGAAGGATAAAATCATTAGCATCCCACATTGTAATAACAACGTTTCATAGAAGTCTTTCAAAATAATCAGAGTTAGACATTTCACTCTTAATATCCATGAACCAATCTCCCAACAGATGGGCATACATTTATTTGTTGTTTATTCCTGAGAATCTTGGGTATTATCAGGGCAATACTTCTTTGTCTATGATTTTGTAAATTCTCACTATCTGGCTGTCTTAAATATCTTAAAATTGTAACAAGAATTCACATGTTGATCACTTAAAGGAATGAAAGGGTTGATGGAAGGGGCGTGGTCATATTTTTTTTAGGAAATTTCAGTCCTAAAGAAATATACATAGAAAATCTGGAAAGAAGCACATGATAAACTAAAATGACATGGGTATGAACCACATGGGTTCCCTTTAAGCAAAGGAAAAAACTTCAGTATGGCTGTACTTCAAGTTTACGGGAGAGTTTGTCTTGTTACAGGAATTTTATTATTGACAGGGTGTTCCCATAAAATGAGCACATTGATAAAATAGCGAAGAAAACAGATTCACCGAGAAGCGTGACCTGCTGTTAACCCTTTTGAATAATTAATTTACCCATCATTGTAAACAAGAGAAACTAAGCATCGAATTTTTTGTTACGCTTTATCAAAGGGAGGAAGTTTACTTCACGCGACATTTTATTGTAGAAAGGCTTAGCTTAGTATAAGTTTCATTACAAGAGTGGGCAAAGGCTGGAACAACAGCTGCCAATAAGTTTTATCCCCATATAACTGATCGTTGAAACTCTCAGTATACCTCTATGTTTGAAAATTTTATGGGTCGCAGTAAATTGCTGTTGCTCTGAGAGCTTCAAGTTTTCTGTTTGTTTTGTTACTTATTAGGTAATTGTTAAAGAATAAAGACAAGAGGCTGTTGTAACCTCTTCCCTTCCCCTTTTCCCTCCCTGTGGTACTAATTTGCGTGAAAACCATCTGATATGACTATCCATCGAAAAGTACCATTTTTATCTTGCCCCAGTAGCTATTACTGCAGATGTACAGAATTACAAAAAGCAGCCTAATGTTTTATTAAATTGGCAAAATTACTGGTCGGAGGTTGTTGTGTTATTCCAGCTGGTTTTGCTTGGCGCACTCTAGAGAGTCAAGGATTGGGTCATATTTCAACATAATCTATCCAATACTCACGAAAGAGCGCAACTGGATTAAATGCGTCACGTGACCGAATATGCCTCCCGAGGAAAATCTTCTTTGAAAAGTTGACTCAAGTTCGGAGAGTGTTTTCCTGTTATTTCTGAATAATAGGAAAACTTGTTTGTACGTTAAGTTGCAGTTGAAAGTCAATATCCCTTTTCGACGGTAAGCTACTCGTAAATAATCTGTTTCGCGTGCTACAAAATGAAGCACTAAAATTTTGACTTGGCCTTCGCACGACTTTTTGTTATCTCTTGATAAATAAACAAATTTGGACGCTCATTCAATCACCTGAGAAATCAAACTAAAAAAAAATTATTTTAAGGCTCAGCGATTAGTTTCAAATGGTGCCCTTGATATCATACTGAGTATTGTAAGCCAACATTCCCTTCGCCTTCCGCGAGCAATTGTCACAAATTATATCTTACATAGAAAAACAATACTTGAATCAACAGCACAGCTTACAGAACAAATTTTATTACCGAGGAATTAAAAAATACTAAAAAAAAAAGTATATATGACCAGTAGTCTAGTGGTATTTATCTTTACGTGAATATCAAGAGAGTATTCTCTTGAGGCAATAAAATCAGTAGCAAATCAAACGTCTTTAAAATTCAACATCTTTTTGAGCATTTTGCTGTTTTGCATGTTCTCTGAAAATTCACAAAATTGGACATCATTCTTCTTTTATGATCATAAGTTCTGTTTCAAACTCTAGAAAATAGGAGGCATTGCCACAAGTCGAGAGTTAACAGTGATTGGATCCAAAACAAGTGAAATCAATGATATTTTGACCTGAGGATAATGCGGAATAACGGAATTATTCCCACCGAAGAAATACAGTTGTAGAAATTGCAGTCGGACAAAAAAGCCGCAAAACATTAAGCTTCGAAGTGGTTCGAACCTTCGTCCCCCTCATGTTGGGAGCGGAGCAAATTAGTTCGTCCTTTGTTACTCGTCAAGGAATTTGATCGCAAATAAATGGAATTAATCATATTTTTAACACTGCACAACCTCTAGATAACGATAAAGATTGGCATTTCATGACTTGTTATCAACTACCTGTCAAAAAATCCGTACTCAGGTCGTGATCGGACCACTGTTAACAATCGATCCTCATCAACTACAGTTATTAGTGAGAATCATCTCAATTTTGTCTTACAGTGACCTCTATCTAAAAATAAAACCTAAAACACTTAAGAGGTAATCCTTTTGTCTCCTCTAGATTGACTTTCAAATGATCTCCATAGTAAGTACAATTCATCTAGCTTAGAGATGACCAGAAAAGACAAACCTTTAGCCTTGGATTGCTTTCTTAACATATACAAAATTGTCTGTCTTTCATACTTTACAATAAAATGCATCGTAGTTAGAAGCGAGAATCGCAAATTAAATCTATGGACCTCAAAGAATAAAGATTTAAGGAACTGCTATCGAAAAATAAGTGCCTCAATATTGGCATCTTAAAACATTTATCTCATGTCCTTAGTGTTTTTAATCCTCGTCCGTATCATTTTGTTCCTCTGTTGATCTACCTTATGATTCTAGCGAGTGATTCGCGAAATCAAAAGAATAGTATTCAAAAGTAAATAGTTTACTGGAACCAAATTAAAAATGTCTGTACAAATTATACCAGTTTCCTGTTTCGGCCAGAGCACAGGTAGAGGAGTCAAAGTAACACCAGTTTCCAGTTTCAGACACAGTGCAGGAAGAGGAGTCTTTGTCTCGGATCAGTTACTGCTCTGCCTCTTGTCCGCGTCGTTCTCATCATCCGTCAGTTCTTCTTTCCTAAAAAAAAAATTTGTGTTAAGAAGGAAGTTAAACGCACGTCACGATAGAGGAACGATTTCGGCTTTAGAGCAAATGGACCAAATTGCCACTGACGAGAAACCCTAAAAAGAAACCTTGATCAGTTTTCTTCTTCGATGCTATTAGCTCAAGGCTAAGTTAAGGATACCAGCCTAAACCCAGTGAAGTCACCTTCACACTATTATCTAGATGTTGTTTTTCACTTCTTTTTACCAAGAAACCTCAACAACTCAAAATTTTTTATCTACAAAAGTCCGTTACTAGTCTACCTACTTCGTCATTTTTGCTCACTTCAAACTTAAATTTGTAGCTTAAGTGATAAATATTTTGCGCACAAAAATTAATATTGAGCCATAGCAAATTAGTTTAACTAACCGTCTACACCTTTCCTTTGTGTGCTGTATGAAATCTGTTAATCACTAAATTTCCAAGGTGTTTGGCTCCAAAACACCGTTCACAACGAAATCATAAAAAACCAGGATAGGTTACATTATACAAATTACTCATTAAGCACAAGCTTACCTTAATTTTTTTAAGTCAAATGTCACGTTGTCTCCCATCAACACAAACGGAGCCCACTGACAAGGTTCGGTGAAGCCTTTGCTCCTCAACCACTTGATGGCCTGGTGAAGGGATTCACTAGCACTTTCTCCAGCAGCCAGATGTTCGTAGAAATGATTCATGAGCTCCTCTGTTGCTTCGTCTTGTATGGCCCACGATGCTACCAACACTGAACGAGCACCGGATGCTAAGAAAGCCCGAGCGATTCCAATGACTCCTTCCTTTTTAAACGTTCCACGCCCACTGTGGCAACAGCTAAGTACTACCAGTTTAGCTCGCAACCTAACCTTCGCAATGTCAGACATTTTCAGAAGGTAGTCTTCTTCTTTTGGAATACTGTTCAAGGCACAATTAGGGGAAAGGGCAATCTCCCCTCTATCAGCGTTGCCATGAGCAGCAAGGTGTAGTAGACTCACTGAATGAATTGCTTGAAGTACCGCCTTCTTTGTTGCGTGCTCTCCTAACAAAGGCTGAACCCCCAGGAGTCGACCAACCATCTCTGCTTCCTTTCTTGCACAAGGCAATGGTTTCAACTGTAAGGTACGTCCTTTGTATTGCACTTCGACAGCCATGGGATCACCCACCACTAGTGCTCCAGTCTGACTGTGATAGTCCGCTGGACATTCCTGAATGAGCCCGAGAGTTGTCAAAGAAGGAACGATTCGGATGCGGTGAGTCTCTGCTAAATACTTTCCAGCTGTTTCGTCTCGTAAGGCAGCAAAAGGGACTCGGTACGAGCAACTCTCTGGCACAATGATGATTTCAGGCTCTGTAAGTAGATCTTGTACAGGAGTGATGATCTGTTCAAAGCACAACTGGAGAATTCTTTGGGTTTGGGCTTTGGCTTTGGTCTGGTCAACTCGCACAGTTGCTTGGCTCTCTTCATGGGGCATGGGAGTGTCGTCATCCAGAGATCGATCCTCACAATTCTCATTCATACGAACGCCAAAGCTGGAAGCACTTCTTTTAAAAATCTCCTCCACTTCACAAACTGATACAGCGATGAGAGTGTCGATTTCCATTTCGGGGCTCACTCTATACTTAATGTCTCCGTTTGCTTTCAAAACCCACAGATGAACATGCCGTTCACAGTATGAAATGTACAAAACATCACAGCTGTTTTCTTTATTTACAATTTTTTCGATCCCAAACCATGATGTTGAATCAGTTGAGATGTGGCTTTCAACTGAGAGCTTATCTCCCATTAATTCCGCAAGGCCTCTAGCTCGTCTCAGCTCCTCCACATAGAGAGCATCTCGATGTCTTCCAGTGACGCAAAGCAACTGACTGAACAACTTGTAGGGAAAATTACCGCGCCCTTCTAAGAGAGATGTTTTTAGGTCATCGTTTCCTGCGAGGAGACTTCGCATCTCTTCATATTTTTTCGTACATTGAGAAAGATACAGCATTGCCTTCTCTAACTCTGATTGCGGTATCTTTAACAAGGTGATTCCGAGGAGGCTTTCAAAGTCAGTCATAATGTCTCCAATTTTGTTGCCGATCAAGCGCGCTTTCTCGAAGAATTTTTCTGATTCGCTATAATTGCCGAGCGATAGAGACACATGACCAAAGTGTAGGTACGTTCTTCCTTGGCTTTTTCTATCGCCAATGTTCTTGCTAATGGCAAGGGCTTTGACATCGTGTTCTGTAGCCTTCTGGTAATCATGAAGCGAATAAAAAAAACGTGCCAGGCCTGCGTGGCACTCTCCTTCACAATTCCTGTTTCCGCTCTCTGTGCTGATGGAAAGCGCTTTGTCGAAATGCTCTTTAGCCTGCTTATTTTTCCTAAGTGATAGAAACACAGCTCCAAGATTTATATAGCCTCTTCCTTCTCCTTCCCTGTCACCAATTTCTACCGCGATGGCAAGTGCATTCTCGTGATATTCTTTAGCCTTCCGATATTCACCGAGTGATTGGAACACGGCTCCAAGGCACCTGTAAGATGTTCCTTCTCCTTTTTTGTCGCCAATTTCTGCTGCGATTGCAATTGCTTTCTCGTGATATTCTTTAGCCTTTTGATATTCACCGAGTGATTCAAAAACAGTTCCGAGTTTCCTGTAAGATGCTCCTTCTCCTTTTCTGTCGCCAATTTCTGTTGCGATGGCAAGTGCTTTCTCGTGATATTCTTTAGCCTTCTGATATTCACCGAGTGATCGAAACACACTTCCGAGGTTCCCGTAAGATGTTCCTTCTCCTTTTCTGTCGCCAATTTCTGTTGCGATGGCAAGTGCTTTCTCGTGATATTCTTCAGCCTTCTGATATTCACCGAGTGATTGAAACACACCTCCGAGGTTCCCGTAACATGCTCCTTCTTTGTCTTTGTCGCCAATTTCTGTTAAGATGGCAAGTGCTTTCTCGTGATATTCTTTAGCCTTCTGATATTCACCGAGTGATTGAAACACGGCTCCAAGGCACCTGTAAGATGTTCCTTCTCCGTTTTTGTCGCCAATTTCTGCTGCGATTGCAATTGCTTTCTTGTGACATTCTTTAGCCTTTTGATATTCACCGAGTGATTCAAAAACAGTTCCGAGTTTCCTGTAAGATGCTCCTTCTCCTTTTCTGTCGCCAATTTCTGTTGCGATGGCAAGTGCTTTCTCGTGATATTCTTTAGCCTTCTGATATTCACCGAGTGATTGAAACACACTTCCAAGGTTCCCGTAAAGTCGTCCTTCACTTTTCGTTTCGCCAATTTCTGTTGCGATGGCAAGTGCTCTTTCGTAATATTCCTTAGCCTTCTGATATTCTCCGAGTGATCGAAACTTATCTCCAAGGTATTTATTAGCCACTGCCCCTTTTCTTTTATAGACGAAAGTTTTCATGATAGCAACTGCTCTTTCAAAGAGTTTCTTGGCTTCTGCAAACCTACTCTTTTCTTGATATTTTTCTCTCAGTTCTCTCATTAATATTACAGCATTGTGGAGCATACCAATTAGTCTGCTGGTGAATCTTGCTGCGTTTGTGTAACCAGAGATTGCGTAGTACGCATTGAATTTCACCTCAATCACATCAAGGTCATCAATACCACAGTTCAAATTGTTGAGCAAAATTAAACATTCACCACACACCTCACTGGCTTGCATACCACGATCAGTCCTCAAAAGAAATATGACCACATTTATGCCTATCTTGATCTTTTCTAGGATCTCATGCATGTTATTCATCTCTTTTGCGTTTATCACAATGGTCCCTGACGTGAAATTATAAAAAAGGGAAAAGTAAAGAAACTCAAATGACGAAAGAAGATGAAGGTTTTTTTTTCTGTTTTTTTAAAGGGCATTGTTTTCTTTCCGCGAGGGTTCGTTGGTTTATTTTCAAGGCTAATCACTTGAGCACACACAACAATCCTTGACAAATTATGTCGGAAAAATTTGTTAAACATCCAATTTAAAGATCCGATCTAAGCAAAAGGTTTCGACCCTCCCAGCTTTCGCTCGTCCAGTGTCACTTTGACTTGGATTTAGAATGCGCCTCCGGAATGCGTTACGTTCAGAGTCAAAGAATGTAGTTGTATCTTTTTTTTCAGTTTCCATGAAGGCCTAACGAAGGGAGAAACATACCCCAGACGATGGAAAGTTCGTATAATGCGACGTGCAACAGGGTCAGTATATCTAGAATCATTTTAGTTACGCCTAGAGCTTAATTTTTCCAATATTCGTTTCACAGAATAATAGATTAGATTTATAATGGTAAAAGGACCGAGTGGAGTCCAATTCGGTCTGTAATTATACGAGTGATAAACAAAAGGACTAAGTGTGATTGGATGCTGCAACTGTCCGATCACAGGTGTCCGATAACAAATTGATAGAATGATTCATTAAAACAAAATAGCAAATGTACCCTCAAATTTGAGGAATTTGTAATAGTTATGATTAACAAGGAAAAAAAATTAATGGCCAGCGGCTATGGAACTATAAGAGAGAGACAGCTTACCTCTAAAACAGTCACATGGAGTGTTCAGTATCTTCTGGTTACCGTCTGACGAATGAAACCAAATGTAAAAAACTGAAGAAAAAAACTTTCCCTGTCAGTGATGAATACAAATAAATAGCGTTATTCCAAAGTAAGTACCTGCGGATCAATAGCAGTATCTGGGCAACTGCCCACCTACTCCTCCCCTAACCCAACATTAATCCTAGCTTGTTATAAATTAGAGATGATCTTTGTTCGTTTGTCTCACGGTAGAGTCACTTATGACGCAGATCGCGACGTTTCGACTGCAATACTGCTAGTCTTCATCAGATGATGAGGTCGATTGTTTACGTGTCGCTATTTGTAGCACGTTGGTACGCTGCTATTGGTGCATTTCGATCCTCATTATTATTCCGATCGTTGGATGGTGTTCCCTCATAGGTCCTCATGAATCGGCTCTTGTGTTGTATGATCGTGGGTATCCAAGCTTCGATTTTGCTATCCCTATTGATGTTGTTGGGATGAAGTCTTATATGGATAGCCTCTTTGACCTTACGTGCGTACCAGTGGGGGTCACGATCAATAAACTTCATAAATCGACTCGTTATATTGGAAATATGTCGATCTTACGACGAAATTCAAGAGATCGGCAATTTGTGTAGGTGTTAAGTTTGTGCGGTTAGCAAGATCTATCTATCTGCTTTAAATGCCATCGGTCTAATAATATTATGATAGTTAAGATTTCAATGATTATAAAGATTGTAAGGATTATATATACCATAGTTCTAATAATATCACATTTGTGGATATTTTAATGATTATAAAAATTGTCACGATCAAACAACACAAGAGCCGATTTATGAGGACCTATGAGGGAACGCCATCTAACGATCGGAATAATAATGAGGATCGAAATGCACCAAAAGCAGCGTACCAACGTGCTACAAATAACGACACGTTAAAAATCGACGTCATCGCCTGATGAAGACTAGCAGTATTGCAGTCGAAACGTCGCGATCTACATCATAAGTGACTATCGTGAGAAAAACCAACAAAGTTCATCTCCTATCTTACACCACGATGAACAATAAGCACATATTTTATCACATTGTTATCAATTGACTGTTGTTGGGTTAGGGGAAGGGTAGGTGGGCAGTTGCCCAGATGCTGATACTGATCCGGACTTGCTCCGTCGATAAAAATATTTTCATTAGTAAAAGATTGAATCTCTTGGTCTTGACATCTGAATTTTCTGCTCTTAAAACTTAAATTGTCAGACTGAATGATTAAAAGGTAACTTCTCTTTTTCAATACCATACATTAAGATGCAAACAGTTGATGAGAACACATTATGTGATCAGCTTAATGACATCACCTTGATTCAAACCAAATTCTCTAAAGTTGCTGTTAAGAAAATGTGTAGCAGTTAGAAGGGAGAATTACTAATAAGATCTTGGAGGCGAAGGTTTTAAATTAAGTTTTATTTATTTTGCCCGCAGACTTATATTTATGTCAAATTTTGTAGCGGAAAATCCTCCTCAATTTATGAGGTTATTTCGATCTTTAATACTCCTATCATTTATTACGGCAAATTTCCGTAAAAATACCTATGATTATTTTAGAAAAGTAAAAACATTATCTCTATAGTTTTTTTTAGCTGCTTACCTTTCAAACAACACCTGTCGAGTTTAATGTGTTGATCTTGTGACCAAAGAAACCAAAAGGAAAAAACTGAAATAACACCTGTGAAAGAAAGATGAATGCAAATAGCAAGAGTCCATAAAAAATAATCACAGAAAATCTCTAAGTTCGTTTAGACTACTGCAATACCAAATCTTTTCCAGTTTAAAAATTTAAAGATTGCTTTCACTAATCAATAATCCTCAGTAACTGAAGTTAATAAAACTTATGTCTGAAATATGTCAGAATTTAGAGAGGGAAAAGGATATCAATAAAATTTATTCCTTCGCTCTCCTCTAAAGAGTGCGTCATTATTTAGCCTACAATCATCAGGTATGATTTTCGATAATCGCCCTCCTTTTTCAATGATAGAATATCGCATGGGAGTCTCGTTATTTTAACTTGTAGCTTCAATAAGTTGCAGCTTCTAAATAAGCCTTTAAAAATGTGAAAACTGTTTAGTATGCACGACTGTCGAATTGTTATGATATGATTACGACGACACGATCAATGTCGGTGTTGTATTACAAGCAGATCGATCGTAAGAAACAATCGCTCAACCTTTATCTGCTTGGACGTTTCATTTACCACAAGCTATCTTGTTCTTTACTGGGATTTTGCTTCCCTGTGATATTTAGCGTTGGTATATTAATCCCTATATTGGTAATCCACAGGTAAGAAATCATGTAAAGGCAGAAGTACTTACAGAGGCTTGAAAATATATTGTATCAATAACAAAATTATTTTGATATTGGACAGATAATACAGCAAATTAATCATCTCACATTGTACTTACCACAATTCGATTTCTGAACGGTTTCTTGTTTTATAAAGTGATAAAACCAACTTTAGGAATCAAATTATTACCATATGTCTATCGGTTTTAAAATACTGATGGCAGATTTAGGCCACCCCTTAAGAGGTGAAATCGTTCCACCCACCCATTCCCCCTTCCTCGTAAAATTTCATATCTGGCTAAACTCATGATATGATTCAATGGAGACCCGGGGGGAGCCCTTACGAAATAAAATGTTGGAGGGCCGCCGTGTGCTTTCTCAAACCTCGAGTTTATTTGTGGCGGTCTTACACGTACGTGACTCTATACGAGAGATCCCCAATAATAGATCACAAACACGTAGGACCCTTTACCCCTAACATCAGTATCCATATTCTCCTCACTCTTCTCTTCACGTTTCCTTTGGTAGTAACAAGGAGATTTTATTTATGAATCATAGCTCTTAAGTTGGCGATCATTTCCTTTATTCGCATGACCTTAATGAATGATTCAGCGGTATTAATGCGAGGAAAATCTGATCTGGCTACTCCTAAGGTTTTAAGGGCCGACTATGAACGGTCAGCACATCATCGAAGCATGGTCAATTTATGGTGTCATGCGTTTGTTATGCACGCGTTTCTTTTTCTAGGAGCACGGTTATTAACTGAGTCAGGGGTCGAGTCTCGAGCCGAAGGGGAAAATATCTGGCTCTCGTTTATTACGAAATGAACGCTAGAGATATGTAAACAAACCTTGTCCAAACCTTCATTATATTACTTTAAACAAGTAATAGTGAGAGACATAACATGCCACTTTTTTTTATTTGAGCTTCTTTGCCTGATTTATGGTAATATCGACGAATTGTTTACTATTCATTTTAAATCAAGTAATTCGGTTCGTACGTTTAGGCAGCCATAACTTACCATCTAAGTTACGTATGTCCATCTGTTTGACTGAACGATGGAACAAAAAATGTTTTTCAACGGAAACGAGAAGAGAGCCTAAGAAAACTCAAGAGATTAATTATTGCTTGGAAGGGCTCTGCATACGAGACAAAAACCGATATTTACCTACATGTGTTCCTGTCGAACTTTTCGGCTTAAAACCTAAGAAAAATAAAATATTCTTGGAATACTTTGAAGTGTTTTCAACTCTCCGCTTCTGTTAATCTGTAGCAGATTTGAATCAACCTCCTCCATGATAAGTAGCTATGATTATTCCATAGTAATGTTCGGTTGAACTCCCCATCATTTCACTTTCAAGTATCCTTTATCTCAGTATACTAGACTCGCGGCATTCCTTGCAGTACCCGATTCTGAGTCTTTTTACATAATTGCTGGTCATGTTATAATCATAAATACGTATTACATAATAATTTGGGGTACAGAAATACGTTGCATTCTTCAGAATTTCTGTTGTCACTGTCAAACGTATGCTCTCAAAACACTATAAACTGAAAATGAAAATATATAACTGTATTCTACACCCTCCTGTTGACCCTTTAACTCCCAAGATCTGATTGAGAATTCTCCCTGCTAGCTACTACACATTTCCTTGTAAATTAATTGCAAGAATTTGGTACTAGATCAAGATAACAACTTCTACCTGACAAGTTTGAATATTCTCATTAACTAATTGCTGGATAATATATGGATAATTTAGGGAGAAGTTACATCTTAATCACCTCTGGGAGGTAAAGGGTTAAAGTCTAAATTATGAACATTTACCAACCATAATTAAACAAACTTTACAATTTCTAATTTCATTTTGGTAAATAACAGCCACACAAGGATGGCAGAAGTATTGCAAGTTTAGAATATTGGAATGTAGTTATCAATTTTGGATTTATTTCTCTGAGCAATGCACTCAGCTATCCATACGATATTGCGACACTCCTGTTCTTTTAGCTTGACATAGGCATAAAACACACCCAGATGGAACTGCTGTTGGAATGCTAGAGTGTTCATCTTCACCTGTGAGGAGGAAAAAAAAAAAAGGCTTTACCTTTTCATACCAGAGATGTGATAAGCAATTCTCCCTCTGTAGTTCCTTGACATTTCTTTGTAACTGTTTATGGGAATCTTGTTTTTTATCAGTTATCAAGTTGTCTATTTTCGTTACCTGTTTGCTGGACAATGTATTGATATTGATGGGAGAAATAAAATGTTTATCACATGTAGTACAACTGTGAAGACCATTACTGATCAGTTCTAGTATAGAAGTCACGTTTGGCAATTCAGCTGATGATGACCCTGTTCAACAAGTCTTCTCCCATCTCAAATGACTATCCATCATGATAACTTTATGCATTGATAACAGAAAAAAAAGGAGAAAAAAAAGAGGGTAAACTCAAAGCCACCCCCCTCCCATATCCCTAGCATTTTGTTCAGTACCCCCTAACAGTTCATGAATAACTATTTACACTCATATGTAGAGAGAGCTGTTGTCAGAGTCAACTATCCCACCCAGTAATATGGAACAGAACCCTTGGTCAAGGTATTTTAAATACTGAGTCTAGAGCATGCTAACCAATAGACTGACATATGGAATGAGAAACTGGGTAAAATGGCCACAGGTAAAATGTTGATCACAGGTAGAGTGAAATTTTTTCACACTTTTTAACAATGAAATTGTTAAATCACACTCAATTCTACAACTTTTTAAGTCCTGGTCTCTTTACACACCTCATGCTCAAAGAATTTATCTTCCAGTGTCTTTTCACCAGGATTTGTGCCAGCTCCTTCAAAGAGAGACTTGTAATCCTGTCAAAAAACCAAAGTACATGTTATCACTGAAAGGTTAAGGATGAAAACAAATCCTTAGTGTTTTAATTTCCTTTGTCAGAGCTCTTTTAGAAATATATTTAGATGACAGTTTATTGGAAAAACTTGAAAACCACCCCATGCTACACCATGTGGCTTTACTTCACTGACTGTTACATGATATATGTGTGCAATTTACAAAATGTTTCAAAAGAGCATTTAGGAAAACACAAGGAAAACCATGCTCTCTCAACAGAACATGAAAGAAAAAAAACTTGAACAAAAGAACAACTGTTATTGAAAGATCATAGACCAACAAGGTTTTTAAAAAAATGAAAAGAGAGAATTGACTGATTAATGCTTATGAGAAAACAACCAAGCACATGATGGGGGGGATTAACAAGAGATCACACAGTGGTTAACTGCAATGACAACAATGAAAAAAAAAAAAAAAAACTAAACAAACAAGCTCTATGTGTGACATGAGAACCCTTCCATCCACACCTAAAATTTTAGCACTCAGACCAGACTTATGTGTTATAGATCAATTTCTGCTTTTTTCTCCTCAGCCAGTGGAAAACACAAAAACTTAAAAGAGACAACATTTACACTCAACAACCTTTACACGTTTGAAATGTGAAGCAAAAATGTACCGAGTAGTAATCTGCCACTGCTCTGACTTGTTCATAATCATCAGCTCTGGCCAACCTAGACAGTCCCTCTGGGTACAGCTTGCCGCACTTGGGATAAAGCTTGTTACGATCATCCTTACCAAGTTCAGTGCCAAAGGAATTGATGGTGATAATGAAAGCTCGACGATCAGCCTCAAACTAAGAAATGCATTAAAGAAGAAGGAGAACATTTCAACAAATTAATCCTTCTATACCCAGGGTAAAGTTTAAGGGGGAAGGGTATCTGAAACTGCGTGTGACCCTCTAGAGTAAGAAAAACATTAAGTATTTATTCATGATTAAGTATTCTAGTATTCTCTTTATTTCCAGTTGGACACTACTGCAAGACACCACATTGAAAAACCCTTCCAACAAACCTGTTAACCTTCTACACCCTAACATCAGTATGCATAACTTTGCACATTTCCTAAGGTGCTGACTTTACCCTAGCGACCTTAAAGAGTGATTCAGGGTTGACATTGTAAGGTGAAATTAGATGCTAGTCACTCTTAGGGGTTAACTTAACTGTTTGAGGCAAAATGCATCCAGGCAATGATGGCTCTCCATGTATGTGCTAAATGACATGCATAGCAATACATTCATACATTTTCCCTCTTCTCTAATTGTCCAAAAAAAGTGTAAACTTAAATACTGTTCAGGGACATAAAGAAAAATCTCACTTACTTGAAGAATTGGGCACATGACATCTGCTGTTGTTCCACCTAAATCTTCACAAAACTTGTGGAAGCCTTCAAGGTATGCCTGATGATAAAAATTACCACATAGAAGTTTAATTCTCAACACAATGGAAACAAGCCAGGGGTGAATGTGCACTTCCATTTAGAAGCTAGGACATTACTTTGGAAAGAAATGAGGAGAAGAAAGGCAATTTGTATGTTGACAGTCAGTGGCACAGTGCTTAAGAAGTTTAAGGTTAATGTTTCTCACTATTTGTGTTGTTGTTGAAAAATGAGTTTCTGTATGAAAAATCTCATCTGATGATATATATATTCAACAAAGAAAACTAAAAGAAAAATAGTTTGAAATCATTTCAACCTGAAATTCATTTAATGAGCAACATCCACAAGTATCTGAAGTCACCCTGGCTCACCTTATACAATGTGTTTCTGATAATCTCAATATTCATCTCATCTAAGTCCTGTTCAGAAATGCATTCCACAAAAAATGGTGCTGGAGATCAAACAAAGAACTACTTCATTAGTCTTTGTCTGTATTCCACCATCAAGAAAAGAGAGGAAAGAATACTAACCCAAAAAAATTACTAATCACAGATCATGATCAACACTATTCCATGCACACAGATGATGACAATAAAAATTTAAAAAATTGAAGAATATCATATAAATGTAAAGAAGAATTTTCAAGGCTGACCAACAAAAATTATTCTGTAAGGAAAAAAACATTTTTATATTGTGATGTTAAGGCAATTGGATAAGCACACATACTGTACCTACAGGTGTTCCTATTGCTGGATGATCAATTCTTCATCTTAACTAAGCAGCTTAACTGCATTGGAAGCAACTCCACATGCTGATAGTATTGTTTAAGTTTAGCATAACTGTAATTGTTTCTGAGCTCTAAGAGTGCTGAATTAAGAAGCCAATAAATCATTAAAGAGAAGACTTGTCTTTGACAGAATTCTCACATTACAATCTGTGCTAACCTAAAGGAGTGTCAATCATAACAGCATTGTACAACTCTGCAGGAGTGGATGCGATATTGATGGAGGCCATTTCCTCAAAGCTACCCAAGGGATGACATTTGGGGACCAGTTCTGATATGGGTCGCTGATGCAGTGTTCCAGTGATCAACAGAATGATATTGTCAATCATGTAACTATACCTAAAAATCAAACCAATAACTTAACTTTAAAATGATGATGCTCAAATTGTAGGCTCTCCTGTGCAAGTCGTACACACACAAAGTTTACAATTACAGAGAATCATAAAAAAACCACATTATATAGCACTTCAATCCAAGCAACTAATAAAAACAACCTCATGATAGGCTGCATTTAAGAGTTGACAAGTATATTTAAGCCTTGATGAAAAAATACTAAAATATGTCGGGCAAAACTAAATGAATACATTCACTGTCAGGCCATGAATCCAAAAAGTTGTGGTGATAATAGGGACAAAAATAAAAAAAAGAGAATATTTAGTAACTCTTTTCCTCCCAACATCTGATTAATGATTCTCTATGCTAGCTACAACACATTTCCTTGTGAATAAGTCAAGAGAATTTGGTGTTAGATCAATAAAACAACTTCTAGTTGACTCTGAAGATGACTTCCGCTCAGGTTGTTGAAACATCAGTCACCATTACGGACAACAGTCCTTACAAGTTTGAGTATTCTCATTACCTCTCTGTTGGATAATTTAGGGATATTAGAGGGAAAATTTAGATGATAAGCACATCTGGGAGTTTAAGAGTTACATGTGTAACTGAGTTCAAAATGAACAAGTTGTCATATCAACAACATGGTGACTTAGTGAGGTTTTACTTTTAAGACCAATTTAATGGCTTACGTAATGAAGTCCATAAAAGTTGCCATTGGTTCAAGAGCTTGGTTGCGTAAATGCCTAAACTCTGTGACCAACTTCTCCCTCAGTCTGTCGTCAATAACTGACACATTCAAAGGACCAGCCTCATTTTGAAGAAAATTTCCATAATCTGTGCTTTGCAAGTGTAGCTTCAGATCTACAAAAAGAAGAATCAACTTTAAAATAATTTAATGCCCACAGCCCAATTGATATCTTGTGTTGACTCATGTAACAAAATAGGATTTTCCAATCACATTCAACTCATCAAGTTCTAACATGAACAACAGTACCCTGGCAAGTCATTTTGGCATTCAGTAAATAATTTGCAGAGTGTAAATTTTGGGCAATATTTCCCTACAACCACACACTAATTTAAAACAAAACCATAGTCCCAAAGGCAATCTATTGTTTTGCTATTCTTTTCTTTATCCAAGAACTGTATACATAATGAAGTAAGGGGCTGTACAGAAATCTTACCAAACTTTTTTAAACTACTCTAACGAATATAGAAATGATCCTGCCAGTTATGAACACTACTGAACTAGTAGTTGAAATAAGGCCTGAAAAAAATTCAGGTCTATACAGGATTTGAACCCATGACCTCTCTGGTGCAGTGCTCTACCAACTAAGCTAACAAGCCAACTGGGAGCTGGTCATTATGTTGGATCCAAATACATAAACATTAATTGCATAGACATAAAGAGCCTGTCATGATTTTTATGTTTATGTAATGGCTACATTCATTGTCGCAATGTGTAAAGGCACAAAAGCAAACAAGGCATTTTTCGTGTTCCTTTTCGTGCTTTTTTCAATTTGCAAGCATTGAATTACGATTACATATATCAAACTTTCTGAATTTCATACTTCCGTTAACATTACTACAATGTAATGTATATTTTATGAAAATACTGATGATGCACTAGCTAGTAGTAATGTATACGGCCATAAAATAACTCTAAAGGATATTTCAACTGTTAGGCTATGGCATTAGATTGATATCTATTTCGTCATGAAACATACGAGACACAACACGGCGAGTAAACCAAAATTAAGCTTACATGCGAAGCAAGTATCTACAGTGTCTTGTACTGTTAGATGCTAAAAATATTCGCTAACTTTTTACCTTCCAGCGTTTCGCATTGAGACAAATTGAGGTAATCACTTTGATTTAAGATTCCTGATCGAAATCCTCGGACCAAACCCTCAAGATAACCACTATCTACGTTGAAAAATAACTCATGAAACGACAACATTTGAGTTGTCTCGGCCATTTTTCCCCGTTCCAATATGGCGGACAATATAAACCGAACCAGTCTTTCCGACTGTCACAGGTTAATCATGTGATTTGTCACGTAAAGCAATACGCAGTCGTCACGCAACGCTCCTCTGGGAATCTCAGCCTAGTCCTCCTTCGGTCTTCTGCTCGTTCAAATTATCAAGCGCGGGAAAACATGGCGGAAAGGGTCATTGTAGGAAATTATTGTTGCCGTGTTTAACAGTTCGTTAAAACTAGTAGTATTACGAAATCCGTCGACATTAACTACTTGAAAATTCTTCCGTTGTCGTAATGGATCCTTCAGAAGTGGAATTTCTAGCCGAAAAGGAAAAAATATCCATTCAAACTAACTTCTCTGAGGACAAGATTTATTTGATCGGGGTAGGTGTATTTATAACCAAGAAAGAACGATATAAATGAATACTTTTGTTTTTTAATGAGACGAAGAGACGTATTCTCGACGAAGGCTATTTGCCAGGGCTCTTTATTGGACTACTGATACTGAGGATGCAACGCTTAGAGTAATTCTGTGTACGTAAATTATGTGCAGGCTTCTCATGTACGACTCGACCACAATTTTCTATGCTATTTTCACTTTTTGATGCAATTTACACTTTCTGATTTGCAGGGAGACATTGGACCATTTAATGCGTCTCTGCCTACGGAAGTACCCTTGTGGATTGCGATATTTTTGAAACAGAGAAGAAAATGCAGAATACTGCCTCCCGATTGGATGGATGTTGGTAATATGTTATTCTCAACTCAGATTACAAGTAGTTTTTTTTCATTACCAAAAGAGCCATTAAGGGTGCTAAATAAGGCGGAGAAGCAATCATAGGCCCCAGAATACTCCAACACTATTTTAAACCACATCTTACA